ATACAGCTTAGAGTGGAATAACTTACTTCATGAGATGATCCATGAAAGTTTGTAAAGAGACGTCGTCAGTAAAGATCGTTTGTGCTGTTTGAGCTCCTACTCCGCCATATGCACCCGTAGTATGTGTAGTAGATGGATTCAGTTTTGATAACAAGAAACGTGCTTGAGAACCACCGGCATCACAAACGATGAAACGCGGCAAGGGAAATCGGTCGGTAATCAAATCCTACTTGAGTCAGTAAACTGTGTATCCAAATTCATGTGACTTATAGCACTTACTCTGGCATCCTCTTTTGGTTGTTCTAGAAGTGATGCAAAATTCTCATATCCTTCTTGATCCTGATAGCCTGCTTTCCTCCATTCTGCAACGGTCTCTCCGTGGAATATCAGGATGTGGAAGAAAGTATCCAAAAGAAGAATATGAGTTGGTTGGATAGATGTAGAATCGAGTAGTACAGGTTGGCTGCCATCTTGGTCGAATGTGTACGAGTCCAAAGTGGGCTGTATCATGATCAAAGAGTTACTAACATCCTCATGGTTGAGTACATGTCTATAGAATGCAGTCTCATCAGGTGAGTTGTTGAACACTTGCAAGAACTGACTTCTCCTGAGATGAAACATAAATTGAGGGTAAAGTGTAAAGTTCTTCTCAAGTCTGAAAGACGATGGGTCATCCTTTCGATAATCGGCGAATCGCGAACACAGACGGATAAGCATTCTATCCACCCATCGTAAAACGTCTGGTCCATCGTCAACTTCGGCTTTAAATACAGCAATTCTGGACATCAAAACCGCAGCAGCTTCTTGATCGAAAGACTGAGCAATCGCAGGATCTCCAGCTGGTCCACTCAAGTTGCGAGAGATTGTTGTCACACGGAGGTGGAATTGGCCTGAGGAATGCTGATAGTATGTAAGGAATTGCATCATTCCCTTTGCTTGGGCCTGATGCTGAGCAGGACCAGCTTGACCAGCAATTTCGAAGTATATTCCGTAGCTAGAATTGGGGTCAATACCGCACATCTTCCATGAACAAGTATTGCCAATACCGCATTCTGTTTCTCCTACAGATGTCGATTTCTTGTTCAATGAAACCGCGTGACCGATCAAACCAGTTACCTTCAATTCTTTGGTAGTCAAAACTTCTAAAGAGGCATTGAAACCCATAAGCAGGTTATCATCACCATCTTTCTCGAATACACGGACGAATGATTGTTTGAACATAGACGATGTGAAACTATCTGTCAAGATCATATGTCCACCAGTCGAGTTTGAGAGGCCCTTCATTTCAAGGAGACCGACTTGATCTAGACAACCAGCAAATATGTCTATTATGTGACCATTATGTGCTGTTCTCTTGGCCAGGTTGTCATAGAACTGTATTCGTTAAAACTGACCATGGAAATTAATCGGGAAACATACCTTGAGAGCCTTCTTATAATACTTGATATTATCTCTGTCGATATCATGATGAGATCTAATTGGCTCCCTCAATTCAGGACCAACCACTAAACCTGGACCTTCGGTAGCAGGTCCTCCTGCGAATAGCATAATACGGCCACCAGCATTCTGGAACGAAGTCTCTAACAGTCCAACTGCTACGCTCAAAGCCACACCGGTACATCTTAGGTTTCTTCTGTCATTTGCGACGGGCCATGGATCCTTTTGTAATTGCTCGAGAGCTTTCGTGAGCTGGAATTCGCATTGTTGGACAGGTAGCAGGAATCGAGCGGCGGGTCCCATTGGCGGCATTGGTTTACCAGGTTGCGGTTGTTGCATTCCAGGCCTCAATCCAGCCGCCGAAAGTCCAAGCATCTCCTGAATTTGCTTGGCAGTGTAGTCCTTGCTACCTCTAAACACATATGATTTTGGACATTCTGTGTAACCAATTTCGTGTACTTGCGCCTAAATTCAGAGGGTTAGTATAGAGCTGCAAAGTTGGGGATGCGAAAATATTCATACCATGGTTCCAAATGTAACTAAGCCAACCAATGCGTTTTCTGGCAGAAGACTCAAGCTCATCACAAGAGATTCCTTGAGCGCAGATAGACTATCCTCCTCTTGACAAGTGTCCACGACATATAGGAAAATGGGAGGACTTGGAGCTGGCCGTGAAAGTCTGTACTCTATCGTGGTATTTGCAGGATGAAGTTCGGGAGGAATTTGGTTGGGATTTATATCTTTATAATGAGGTGGGAGAGGATTTCGAGATAAGCAGAATGGGCAGATCCAAAGACGTGCTCTGACATCCACTTGACTATTGACAATGAGCTCAATTCGGAATTGTACTTCCAGTGTAAGACTTACCAGAAGGGGTTCAACACTGATCTACATGGCTGCTTGCAGATAACTGGCTCAAATTGTAAGAGTGGTGTATCCGGCTTCTCTTTAAGAGGTGTATAGAGTGCGCCGATAGGGACAACAAGCCTCGAGGCTTCCTATAATATATAAGCTCTTGTACCCCGCGGAGTAGAATCTGTTTGACGAACCATGCGAGAGCTTGGGAAAACGTTCCAACTAAGTCGAACTCCATCACGATCCTCCACTTCACTCCATTGCTCCTTCAAAGCTTCAATATCCATCGTGCGCAACCCTTGAAGCTGGATATTATGTATTTGATAATCGACTGGTAGAAATGTGGGACGAACGAGAGCGGTCTGGGACAAAGTGGCAAATACCCAGATGCTATGCGATCCCCAATCAGTAGAAAATCAGGAAGTGAAACGAATCAAAAGATTCTACTTTTGGTGCAGGAGAATGTGTTTTTGAGGTTTTGTTGTAAGTATCGAGGCCTCGTGGGAGATAATGCCAGGTAGTTGTTGACTTACCTAATCACGGTCCTTTCACGGGAAATAGCCGAATGACAGGTAGCCTCGCCGGGAATGTATCAGACAAATATCATCCATCACTGACTGTAGAAACTCCTATGAGATGATATTACACATACATACATTCTTACTCTGAATTTGATGATCCTAGAATCAAATGATTTTGGGAAGATATAAATTTCCTTATGGATAACATTTTGGGTCACATCTTGGTTCTGAAGAGCAAAGTATAACATTTCATTTCTATTCTCATGCTTGAAGAAACTTGGGCAGCCAGGAAGGAGCGTGCCAAAAACAATGTTCATCATCCTAGGTATGTACCATCAAAGAGGTACCTAGATGTTGTTATTCTAGACAAAAATGCAAGTCACTGCACTCTTACCTAGGCATCGATCCATTTATTAGGCCTTATGATTATGGTAAAGATTCATATTTGTGTGAGCAACGAGCGTGCATTACATAAATTCATAGGTAGGTTACAGCAAACCGATGCAGTTTAATTCAATACATATCGCTAAGATAGCTGGAGAATTCGGATGTAATTCGGGTATTATCATTATCAGTTACAGTATTAACTTTTGTAGATGATTCTAGGTAAACAAATCTCTGAAAATTAATACAAATATCTGGCCTCCACATCCTTCAAGCTTTAGATCAAATTCAACGTTACATGTTCAATTCTATAAAGCCAGATGCACCTCTGCCGAGCCACACATTAATCCTTCTTTCCGCCAATTGGGAGACCTTCTGTGAGACCTTCAAAACCTGAGAAGCCTGGGAGACCTTTCGAAGAACCTTCGAGACCTTCGAGACCTTCCGAGAAACCTTCTGAAAGATCTGAGAACTCTGAGAAATCTGGCAAATCGAAACGCTTCTCAAGATCTTCACGTTTCTCATTATCCAATCCAGATTCAAGAGATCTTCGGGCCTTAGATTTGCTGGCAAGTTCCTTCTTTACAATCTCGAACTGCGCATCTACTTCACTCCCGAGCGCCTTGATCTTCGGTTGGTGGGGGGATGTGACCTTTTTCTGGCAAGTATTGTATAAACCGTCTACATTCTTTTGCAGTTTCTTAATTTCCGACGCAAAGTAACTTGCATATCGGGTATTTTGAATCATGCTTTTCTATTCAAATTTGTCAGTACTGCATTCTAGTAATCATCTCAATCCACTGTCCGACAGAGCTGTCGTAGTGGAAAAAAAGAGAGTATATGACAAAAGTGTTCAAAAAAAACTTACTCGTTCTTTAAGAGCTTTTGAGATTTCTAAGAATTCGGGAGTGAGGTGTTCCAAAGCAGCTTCAACATTCGCGCTTTCATCCTCACTCATAGGTCCCGACTGGCTCGCAGCCTTTTCGGCCGACTGAACTGAACTGTAGCAAGTCTTAAATTGCCTATAGAGTTTGATGGATTCGAAGACTCCGCCCTCGTAGTTTTGGCACATCTCTGTGACTTTGTGACCCTCGTCAACAACATTTTTGATCTTTTGACTGACATATTGAGTTCTAGATTCAAGGGGGACAGAGACATCACGCTGGTTGATTGAGATGGCATTTGAGCTTGGGGTAGGACTCGCAAGTGCAAGAGGTGCCAATAGCAGAGTGGGAATGTATGAAAAACGCATCTCGTTTGTTATGGGTGGAGTTGTAGATGGAGAATTGGGGTGTGATGGAAAAGTGACCAAGAAAAGTTCTTACAGGAGAATCAGTCATGGATATAAATACCTATAGAAACAGCCAAGCTGCTTAGCTGGGCATGACATATACGATAAATTTAACCATGATCGAGCATCCAGATATCATACGGGTACATCTTCCAAGGGCAGCGGCAGCCGCCAGTACACGTTTTCATACGCATCTAGATTACAATGGATCGAGAAGCTAACGATCTAGCTTTCCGAGAACCGGATAGAAGGAGCGACTCTACCTCATCGAATAAGAATTGCGCAAAGTTGAAGTTTATTAGAGAGAGATATCAAAGTAGGTAACGTTAGTTTTATCCAAATCTTGTTGATATTCTTCATGTTGATGTCCAAGTATCTATGTAAACAAAGTCCCCACATGCCAAGAGATGCAACCGCACTATCACTCGAAATCAATCGATGACCTACTAGGTAGGCTGCTGCAAACTCAAAACGTACCGATCCTGCCGGTAGTCACTATTAGGGCATCTTTAGGATGGAACCATTTTCAAGAACAGGCACCAAGATCATCTCAAGTCCTATATTGATCGACAATTGGCATTATAGCTGACAACTAAATTCCTCACAGAAGAATGATGCGTCATACAATTTTGGATCTACCAAAAGATATGTGGGTAACAGTTTTCCCTCACTCATCAGTTGCCATGCATCTCAAAATGCAACATTGACATTGAAGACATGAATAACTGAAATTAATTTCCCATAGCGCCCACGAAATTCACAAATGCCTTCTGACCCTCTTCGATGATCATCGCTGGGTCCTGGAATTGTTTCACGCCTGCAAAGTTTGGAGCTTGGGCATTCACCGGTAGAATCTGGGTGACGTTTGATACCGATGGGGTTGCATTTGGATCATAGGTCTCAAATGAAGGGGAAGCCAACGTTCCAGTGCCTCGAGGCAAAGATGCTGTTCCTGTAGAAGATGCAACATTGACCCCATTGATGGTCATCTGTTGATCTTGCTGAACCACAACGAATTGTGTATCCTGGGCTTGGTTATCTGCTTGGATTTGATGTGTCATATAGCGAACGTTTTTGTTTGATCTATCCCGAGCATCGACAATTTGTGTGACAACAATGATGATAATGTTCTGGGAGTCATATTAATTTCTGTACTTTTGGCTTCCGCTTGAAAAGAAGAAAATACCTGCTGCGAGTTCAAATTCTTGAAGTGATTTCTCCTAATGTTATCTCTAGCGATTTGTGTTCGATCGATGATGATGAGCCGCTCTTGAACAAGCTTGGTGAGTTGAATCTCGCGGTTTCGTGAGATTTCCGTTAACTGCTCTTCTTCTGTCTTTGTGATAATGATCACATTGTTTGAGTTCGCCTTCGATTGCTGTCTTGAGTCCCTAGGAGCATAGACCAAGCCTCTTGCAATATTCTTATCAGTCTCCGGGACTGGGTGAGGATATGGGCCTGAGTTACGTTATTAAACGGGAACCATGCCATCAGCGTATTCAAAAGTCTCTAGTGTTGATCAAAAAATTGGACATCGTTTTATTCCTGAATTCAATCAAAACATTCATCTCCTCCAGAATGTTTAGACCGCTTCGAATGTCCACCTTATTTTAGACATTGATCTTCTTGCAGATATTGACTCGTTTCCAAACATTGACAAGCCAAATATGATCATCTCGTCCGGAGCACTGAATAACCTGGATGAAGTATAGACTGGTACTCACTTGCAATGATTAAGGTAGCCAGGCTCAAGATCAATGATGCCACCAGAGTGAAACGCATGATTTATATTATTAGGAAAGAATGTAATTAAAGATTGATATTACTTAAAAGATAAGGCAGCCGCTGGGGCGCTCGATGAAAGAATAATGAAGTATGTGGTAAGAGAATGAGTACTGGTGAATGAGTGACAAAGTTTACGATGTGTGCAGGACTTGCTGTCATGATGGGAGAGCCAGCGACTATTATACTACAATTCTCCCCTTCGTGATAACCCGCATTCAGAGCGGAACAGCATATACCCATCACGTTGTCAGACTGAATCGGATACATTGAGGCTTATTGCACTCCTTGGAACACCAGACTCCTCTGGTAATCTTGATGTGATTAAAAATGCCTTGGCCAAATTTTATGATACTCATTGAACGGATATGGATACATCCGGAAGGCTCCCAGTAAGTGAAGACAGAGCCAAGAGCATTTGACAACTAAAACCACATACTGACACCATGTTAAAAACATGAGATGATAGAAGCGTTCATCAAAAGAATTTTTGGGACATGATTGGATCAATCAACGAAAATCCTGAGAGTATTGACTTCCTGATGTAGTCAAATTAACAAGGGATGCTTGGACCCCCCAGTCGTTGTGAGATCAGACAAAACGAAGCTTGTTTGATCACAGTATAATTGTGAGATATAGTCTTATAAGCATAAAAAGTGCTATGCATAATACAATATGATAAGGGATTAAGTTTGGGATTGTGAGGGTATATTCCAAATAGACTAGATGAAGATCAAATGCGCGGTCAGCACGTCATTTAGAAATGTACAAGCACATCTCATGATCGTAACATATTGCACCGGCCAGTGGAATGCCAAGGATAGAGAACACTTATTCGGTCATGATCGTACAACAACGTATTAAGAGGACTATGCACCAGGAAATATCCAGCTGTATTCGCGAATAAACGCTGTTGGAATCTCCCTGGTAATGCGATGAAGTATCCCCGAATTCAGGAATGCCACGGATCGTATTTCTTCAACTGTGAAGATAAACGATTGCGTCGCAACTTTACCTGACGAGTAATAAAGAGAGACATACACGGAGAGAAATTCGTAGACTCGAGAATCTTGTCAGTCCAAAATAACTCGCCTTGTGAAGGGAATGCCACCTAGCTTTTTCTTTCTAATTCTCCAACTCACTGTCAACTCACTGTAGTCTCACTTCCTTAAAAAAAATCTAAACTCCCTGGCAGCTTGCATCGACGAGAGGGAAAAGGATGAATGCTGGCGATAGCTGCAGAAAATTCATAAAAAAAAGTTACTGGCAAGGTGCGAAAGGTTCCCGGTGAGCCTCTTTGCGAAAAGCATAATGTTCCAACTCGAACACAATACAAGTCATGACAGGATGGTAAAAACACAGATGTATTCCCGAAAGTCATCCAAAACCAACCTGACACAGGTATAACATACATTACCAGCCGTTGATGATAATTTTTTATCCATTTCCCTTATCGACAAAAGGGTTTGCCTCCTCCAATAACATGCTAACGAGAGTCCTAAAATGCTCTCGTGCATCAAGCCTAGCATACACACGTGATAAGTTGCAGGAGCTTTGACCTTTTCGCCTAAAAAAAAATCCCAAAATTTCACCTCCAGAATTTTTATTGCATCCAATTGACCCGTCGCCCAAGAATCTCGAATCGTCCGACAAGTATTTTTTCGGCCTCAATTACACTTTTTTCTGCACTTTCAATTCCTAAACTTTAAAGCAGAAATGGCATACACACCAAGAGGAGGTGCTCGTGGCGGCGACCGTGGAGGACGTGGAGGTTTCGGCGGGGGAAGAGGTGGTGATCGTGGTGGTCGCGGAGGCTTTGGAGGAAGAGGTGGTGGAAGAGGTTCGTATTTTTATATTTCCAATGCGATTTGAATCTTAATGGCTCAATGCGCATGCGCCAATGTTTTGATTGAATCCCGCTGACTTTGTAAAAAGGTGGTGGAGACCGTGGAGGACGTGGAGGCGGACGTGGTGGTGGAAGAGGAGCTCCTCGTGGAGGACGTGGTGCTCCAAGAGGTCGTGGAGGTGCTGGTGCCAGAGGAGGTGCTAAGACCATTGTCGTAAGTATTTGCAGTTGAATTGGACTTCAATTGAGTTCTAACATTTTTTTTCAGGAGCCCCATCGTCATGAAGGAATTTTCGTCGCTCGTGGCAAGGAAGATATGTTGGTCACCAAGAACCTTAGCCCAGGTGAATCTGTATACGGCGAGAAGCGCATCAGTGTCGAGGGCGCCGGCCCAGCCAACGAAGATGGCACTCCAAGCACCACCAAGACCGAATACCGTGTCTGGAATCCTTTCAGAAGTAAGATTGCAGCAGGTGTTCTCGGTGGTATGGATGAGATTTTCATCAAGCCCGGTGCTAAGGTTCTTTACCTTGGTTCCGCTTCTGGAACTTCAGTTTCCCACGTTGCCGATATCGTTGGACCCACAGGAACTGTTTTCGCCGTCGAATTCTCCCACAGATCTGGCCGTGATCTTATCAACATGGCTACCCACCGCACAAACGTCATCCCAATCATTGAGGACGCTCGTCACCCACTTAAGTACAGAATGTTGGTCTCTATGGTCGATGTTATCTTCGCCGATGTTGCACAACCTGATCAAGCCCGTATTGTCGGATTGAACGCACATTTGTTCTTGAAGGTTGGTGGTGGTATTTTGGTTTCCATCAAGGCATCTTGTATCGACTCCACAGCCGCACCAGAAGCTGTTTTCGCTAGAGAAGTCCAAAAATTGAGAGAGGAGAGAATTAAGCCTTTGGAGCAATTGACTCTAGGTAAGCTTTTCCCCATGTCAACCCACTTGTTTTTCCACAGCTAACCATGATCTACTACAGAACCTTTCGAGAGAGATCATTGTATGGTTTCTGGACGTTACGTCCGATCCTTGTAAACCTCATCTATTTCCTCATCTATTTACCACCATACTACCCGCGCATCAAGTCGCCCTTCAGCATAAACTCAATTGAAGTTTATTTCTTCGAAGAAATTCGAATGACTCTGAACACACGCTTCTTTGGCATGCCTCATCACAAATTACTACGGATTCTCTCTTGTTAGGTTATGGAAGGTTGTCGTTTTTCTCGTTTTAGTACTTTTTTCTATTAGGTGTACATTCAGGTCCTGGCGTACAGGTCTTCATTATTCATCGCATTACTCAGTAGCTTGTTAGAGAATGAGAATAAGAGGAGAAAATAAGAAAGTAAAAATTGTCCAAGAATCATAGTCTAGTTTATGAGTTCAATTGATGTCATGTTTGAATCCATAATGTGGTATCATATTTCTTCTAATTCTATTTTGTTCGCTAGATCAGAATGGAATGGCAATTGGGTATAAATTTCCATCCTTAAAATCAATGGTCTTACGCTTCCTTGTTGCTCACTTCATATCCACGCGCTGGCTCGCGCTCTCTTCCAAGGTATCATATTCCCTATACCAGTAGTACCCGCAGTATTCGGACTCAGTCGTTGGCCAGGATTTTAAAGGATTGCGGTCATTGTGCCCATTCTTGCTAAACTCAACGCCGAAGCTTCAATGCCTAGGATTTCCTGTCTCTTCGATGCCAAGGTACTTGATACTAGACTGATATTCTCAAGCGCATAGTCTTCCAATCTAGGTGTCTTTCGGGTCTTTGGTCTGACAAAAGCCAGGAAAACAATCGACATTAAGATTGAAAGTCTTCCTACCCTCCAACTCCCACCCTCAATTTTTCATTTACCGATCCTCCCCACGCCCACCACACACCAATAAGCCAGCTCCCTTTTTTCCCTCCCATCCCTATCCACCAATCCCCCCAATTTCCCAGCCCCATCTCCATCACCAGCCGCATCCGCCTCCCATTCCACTCTTACGAAAACCGCGATTTCGCACACGTCGGCGTCTTCTTCCACTCTTTCCTTTTGCACTTCTTCTTCCAATCTCCTCTGTTGCTCTAGTCCGGGCAATTTCGCCTTAAGTTTCCCGGGTGTGACTTCGACGACTACGCTTGTCCAATTGCGACCTTTGTCCCAGGGTTTTCCGTGCGCTTCGTTGCTGAGATCAATGCTCGCCATGCTGCCATGGGTAGCGGTCGAATGTTTCCGATCGTGGGCGGAAGACGAGGAATCCTGGAGGGCTTCGTCCCACATATCTGTGTTGGCGCCGACTTCAAATTGGGGACAAAGAAGGATGACTTTGGAGGCGTGCCGGTCGGTCGTGAGACCTTTTGTTGCGAGAGATATTTTGACGGGTTCGAACAGGGGGTTTTTGAAAGTTAGGAGGAATTGAGTTGGCTTGAGGGGGGTGAGGGTTATTTGGGCGGGAGTCGGACTGGGGGCGGGTTGAAGGGGGGAGAGGCTGATGGATGGTATGTAGGAGAGAGCGACGAGGCGAATGCGGAAGCGTGTGGTTGGGACCTTGGATTCAGGTTTGGACAGAATATGACGACAGGTACGGCAACGTTTGGAACGTTTGGTGCGGAGGAGGCAAGGAATTGGGCGAAGAGAGTCGAGGAATCGGGTCGAAGGTGATGTCTGATTTGTTCTTTGCTCGGTCGCAATTGTACCTTCCCAGCCGTCTTTGAGAAGTTGTGAGACGGCCACAGACTCAGCTTCAGGATCGTAGACTTGGAGTCCTTCGGTTGAATCACACGCTTCTCGCATACTTGCAGTTTTAGATTTCGCTTTTCGGTCGCCAAAACTTCCACCTGTGTAAAGGCCCATTATTCGAGTTAATGCTCCGGGGGATCCATATCCATAATCATTGGAAAATCCTAGCGCGCTGCTTGGATTTGAATCTGCCAATTGGCCCTGATAAAATGATTTTAGGTTCGCATATTGACTTTCTGTATCAAGTTTCTCGTTTGGGTCTACATGTTTTTCTATGACCTCATCCGCCTCTTCCAGAATCGTTTCTGTAGCCAAAGATGACCGCCTTTCATCTCTATCTCGACGGCGTTCTTTTGCACTTATCAGTGGATCACCACCATTTTTTATCTTGGACAACTGTGAATATACGGAGTTTGGCTTCTCAAATCGTATGCCAATTTCGGTCGAACTCCACATACAGTAGGCGCAGTGAAGAATATAGGGTGCTGTCGGAGATGGCGAAACATTGGGTACTTCTGGAATTGGCGCCTCATTGACTGAGAGAGGCGATATACATATTGGGCATTGGAAACAAGATCTTGTGCATCTAAGTGATTGGTAGTAGCACATTAGGATCTAGACCTTTCTCTCAGGGAGTTGACACCGAAACAATAAATCGTAAGGCCATGTTTACTAACCTGTTACCTTCACTCTTTACTGTACTACTCGGTACCTCAAATAAACAGCTCGGGCAATACCAAGTCACTATCTCGTCTAATACACATCTCGAGCATCGAATTTGGTGACAATCCTCACAATATAGAAGATGTTCCAGTGGATATAAGCTATAGTTCGCGCGTGGAGCTCTTGGATCAAACGTGCGTTCTTCTTCGTGAGTTGGGGAATCCGGAGGTGTAGAAGAATTTGCAGGAATCGATGTATCAGAACAAGGACATTGAAAATAAGTATACGACTTAAACGTCGACATGATTGAGTCTCAGCAATGGGATTTCCAAGTATCAATAGGTGGGATTTTTGGAGAGGGGATGAATAATATTTGACAGGGGTATGCGGAATAATAGTTAGTCCGAACAAAGCTTAATTTTGAGCTAAGAACCAATCAAGGAAAGCTTCGAGGTACACCAGCAAGACTTCCTGGTAATACTTCGAGACGACCAACTTTCTGCACGTTGAGCAATAATCGTACTATACATAATAATAAACCTCATACTCAAGCATCCTCGTTGAATGAAACGGGTTCTCTCATGATTCATTGCCGCCATACCATTATTTAATAGACACTTTTCTATCTCATTCTGACTAGGTACTTGAATCTACCTAGTATCCACAAAAATGTTGTTGCTATCACACTTTATCACACACACACTCACGTGATTGTGAAACTTTCTGTTGTCCGTACCTGCTTTTAGCGTTCGTAATACATAGTACCCAGTATCTAATAATAATCTTCTTCAAGCGGGCGGCTGCTCTAGGCTCCATCTCCATTTTTGGTGGGCATGAATGGATGTTGATCCATCCTTTCCTTTCCTTTCCTGCCATTCCAATTTGTTGGTTTGTATCGAATCATCCGAGTTATCTCCTTATCTAGAGCAGAGTTTACCCAGAACCTAATGCCTTGATGTGATGAACCTAGGTTGGGCGACGAAGAAAAAGCAAACTTCTCAAACGACACCTGCTGGGGCTTCCTCTTGACTTTATTCAGCTTGTGTATCGAAATGCATGAATCCCACCTCAACTGCCCATCCCACGGACGATAATAAAGGACAATAAAGGACAATAAAGGACAATAAAGGACAATAAAGGACAATAAAGGACAATAAAGGACAATAAAGGTTACCATGTCCTTGCACCGCCACGAATAAGGTTCTCGTCAACAAATCAAGCTCCAGCCATACATACAGTGCAAGATCCAAAGCGAAATAAACAACAATAACACACAACCGTGCGGGACAATACAACTAATGATAAACACACTTTGGTCCCATAATGCAAACAATATCATTGTGAGATTAGGACAGAAAATCATTCGTTTTTGATATTACCACTGTTCTCAACCTCAGACAGATTCTTGAATCTACGTCAATTGGCAATTGACAATTGACAGTTGACATCGAGTAGCGATATTTCATCTTCGTCCCATCTCATCACTCGGGTTGCCCTATCAACTGACAGCACATTTCAGCGCCCAATTGACTGGGGGAAGTTCTCACAAAGTCACATTCTGCCATTCCTCGTGGGTCAATGAACATTGGCGCAATTCAATAATTTTACAACGGCCTTCATGTACGTCAACACAAGAACCTGCTTCGATGGTTTGCTACAATATACTACTACCATTTGAGTCGCCGCATGTTAGAGTTGGGAATTGGTCTTAATCAAGGTGCGCATCTAACGTTTTTTTTCAAAGTTGAATATTGTTTCCAAACCCAACTTTGCGCAAATTATTCTGTTATCTATGCTCCGAAGAGCCACTGACGCTATGCAACTTGTTAGACCATGCCTTCCCCCGAACCCGAAAAAGATGAGACAGCCCCGGCCCAACCCAAGTCTCCAACTGCCCCGCAGAAGACATCACCCGCCAGGAGCACTCCCAATGGTACAGCTATACGAAAGCCGGGTGTCAAGCCGCGGACTCCTGCCAATGCGCCCATACACAAGCGACCACCATCCAAGAAATCGGAGCCGACATTGCTTACTGATTTTCTGCTGGGCAGACCATCAGCAAGTCGCCAAAGACGAAAAAGTCTTGACGCAGTCAAGGCGGAGATGCGGGAAAGCACTGTGAATAGGATTCAAAAGCCAGGAGGAGTACACGATCGGGTTAAGCAATGGCAAAAAGCTAGTGCAGCAGCTGCCATTGAAGAAGCTGATGATCCAGAGTCGGAGCTGGATGAGATAATAGTGGAGGTGGAGGAAGAGAGTGTGGTTGGGCCCAGTGTTGTCACCGAGGACAACAGGCTTCATGTCAGAAACCCAAATACTCGACCTGGACGGCGGAAAAATAGAGACCCTGAAGATTGGGCCGCAGAAGTAAGGAGCAAAAGTGCGCCCCGAAAAAGAGTTATAAGCGATGATCATTGGGTGATGAATAAGACCAAGACCTCTCCAAAGAAAAAGGACATCAAAGTCACAATGCGAGCTATACCTAAAGACTTTCTTCAACAGACGGCTGCTAATCCCAAGTTGGAAAGCAAAATCGCTGATTGGGTCAAGCGTACGGAGGCTGAGTCGGGGGAGCATGGAGCGGCCCAATCTACTTCACGAGCGGGCAAGAACCCACAGCAAAATCCCCGTGGGGAAAATAAGGGCAAAATGAGGGCCAAGTCTTTAGGAGAAATTATAGTTGAAATAGAGGAGGAGGAGGAAGAACCGACCCGGAAACCCTCAAAGAACAAAATCAAAGTCGAGTCAAGGAGTACCCCAAGCTCGCGAAAGAATTCGAACAATGGATCCAAGGAAAGCCTTGTTAGTTCGTCGAAAGGAAAACACACCCCTAAATCGGAACCATCTCGAACTCCAGCGAATGATGGCATTCGAGTCAAGGCATGTGGACCGAATGGTCGGTGGGAAGATGGCATTAGAGTAAAGCCTGTTCAAGCGAGATGGAGGGCTCCTGAGGCTAAGAAACAGAGTTCCGGAGGCAACCCTTTTCTCGATGGTATCAGCCTGAAACCTACACCTGTTCATAAAGACGGCAAGCAAACCCCTCTGAAACCAGAGATCTCAGATGAGCATTCTCATAAGCGTAAATCATCAGAGAAGCATATCAAGCCACTGAAGGAGACTGAAAGGAAAGACATGAACGATCGCTCCGATGGCGACTTGGACGATACAAATGTAGAAACTCCCACTCGTCGTTCTCCAAGCTCCCGGAAACAAAGAAGGAAATCCCGTTCACCATCTCCATCGGTTGACGGGATTCCCTTTGGCGACTCTGCTTTCAGTACCTTGGATCTGCCTATTGGTGCCGAGGCGGGGAACACTGGAAATAAACCTAAGCCCCAAAGAAATCCTAGTCACCTAGTGCCCAAAGTTCTCAAGCGCGTCTATAATGAAGGGAAAAAGATTATGCATGATAC